CTGCAGCTTATTTATTCTTTTAGTAGAAGTCATGTTAACAAGTTGTTTAAACAAAAATATCAGATACCTTTGATACAACCTTGCCAAAGAATCCAAAATATTAGAAGTTAAAGGTGACAGTGTATATCTCAGTTTTATGTTACAGCAAATTTGTGGGTTTTTTTTGTTTGTTTGTTTGTTTGTTTTGTTTTTCAAACATTTGTCTTTTACTTCCCAACAATTGTGAGACTTGCTTTTTAAAATACAAACAAACATAGGTTAATTCTACTGGGTGTCAGCTGGGCTCACCCAGGTCAAAGGAGACTTCACACCCATAAGCATTTAAGTTTTAGAGTAAATGTCCACCTTGACTGAGAAGGATTATAAATTTTATTGGAAGTGAAGGCATCACACTGAGCAGGATCGGATACAGCTCATGTCTGCATGGCTTCCCATCAACCGGATGGGGTGGAGTGGTTCAGAGATGTACTGGGAGTTTAGGGACGTGGTTCCTGAGAGGTAGGGTCTTAACCACGCCTGAAAACCTTGTTTTGCCACTACTTTTTTATCCTCCGAGCCTGCATCCCAATCTTTTTACTTCTGTCTTTATTAAATTTGTGTAAGTTCTCCTAGCTCTGCCTCATGACTTAACTAGACTGACTTAGAGCCAGACTGACTTTGGTCCCTTCCCCTCAAATTAATATTTTGAACCCCTAACCGCAGTGTAATTCCATTTGAAGATGAAGGGTGCATGAGCTCAAAAGAATGAGGTCATAGTTCAGCAAGACTGATGTTCTCAGAATTTTAACAGGACCGTGTGTGGACATGGAACCGTAGCAGGCCTGGTTACCTGGAATAGCACAGCTACACACCTGAGTGTTGTTGGGCAGGTCGACAGTGCCAGAACAATGTGAACAGCTCTCCAGCTGCTGCTGGCTTTATAGTAGTGACCAGGTCAGGCTCATGTCCTTCAAGTGACCTCGTAACACTGTGGTGGAGAATTTATCTGTGACAGTTTTTCTGTTTCTCAAATATCCCAAAGACTGAACTTTTAACAGACATGGGAGGCATGTTTACATCACAAAAACCTCTATCATTGGGAAGAGAAAACGTTTTTGGCAGTGTAACCCGGGAGACAACCCCTGACGCCAGGGGTTAAAACAAGCTTCCAGTTTTCACTGTATTGACTTAGGAGCTGCTGTCTGGTCACTCACAGGCCAGATCTGGTTTTCAGATGTTTTTATGACCCAGGTGCTGTTTGCACAGGCTTTCAATTTGACCACGTGGCATCAAAGTGCTCACTTGCCGATTTGGCACAGTGGGCAGCCCTCTCTGTTGTCTTACAACAGGCTGGCTCCTGCACATCGAAGTGACGTGCCTGGCTCCTAAGGGTGTGTACTGTCTGACCCTTGCTATTAAATCGTTCCTGGCCACAGTCATAGACTTTGTTTCAACACGCATTTTTTTAAAAAACGTTTTTGTTGTTCATAGAATTACATTACCTTCATTTAATGTGTTTACCCAGGAAATGGGTTTTGGTATGGTTCACTTATTGATTATTCATAACTCTGAATGTAGACCCATGCCATCTAATTGGTATCTGCGAGTCTCGTGTGGTCCTCAAGCGCTTGAAATGTGTCTTGTCTCAGTTGAGATGTGCTAAAGGGTAAAACGCACACTGGATTTCAAATACTTAGTTAAGAAATGATACGTTTCATGGATATTTTGTTATATCTAAGTTATACTTTTGAGGTATTGGGATAAGTAAGAAGTGTTATTAAAATATCTTTTTCCTGTTTTCATTTTTAATTTAAATTATAATTTAATTTAATTTAATTTTTTTTGTGTGTAGTGCAGGCTGGCTTTGAACTTGCTTATGTAGCTCAGGCTGACCTCCTCCTGCCTCAGCTCCTGAGTGCTGGGATTACAGGCATGCACCACCATGCCAGGATCACTCTATCTGTCTATCTATCATCTATCTATCTATCTGTCATCTATCTATCTATGTTTCTTTCTTTCTAAAATATGGTTACTAGAAAATTAAAGATTGCATTGTCTTTCTTTTGTTACACGGGGCTAGAAGTTAATGGAAACAAATCCCTAAGTGTGTCAAGTTTGTTATGTTCATGTTGCCATATGTTGAGTTTATTTATAATCCTTTCATAAAACCAGTGATGAACAACTGCTTCAACTCCTGAATCCCTTTCTTGTGTGGAGATGAGTGGCTGTGCCGACAGGGAAGAAGTGTGAAAGGAAGACTTCACATGTAGGGAACAGGTGAACACGATGTTCCAGAAGAGCTTGGGTTGCAGATCAGTTGTTGCTTGGATACATCACATGATTTATTACCTCTGCCACACACATTTCTCTGTCAGGTAGCGGCTGGGATTCTTTTAGTGTAATTGCTGACACACACACAGAGTCAGCTGTTCTTGGCATCTAATTGTTAGATCTAAGTTAGGAGATCTCTTGGCAAATTCTTTTCCAGTGGGAAGGGACCTTGACAGTCTTGTAAAACTCTAGTGGCTATTAGAGATCATTCATGGAATTTTTCTTCCTCAGTATAGAAATTGAGACAGGAAAATTAACATCTATATTAGTTGGTTTTTCTTTTTTTTTTTTTTTTTGGTTTTTCTCCGGTACCGGGAACCGAACTCACGACCTCGCGCGTGCCAGGCAGGCGCTTTTGCCGCTGAGCTAAATCCCCAGCCCTAGTTGGTTTTTCATTACTATAACAAAATACCTGAGACAGGCTAATTTTATAAAGAAAAGCTTATTTGACTTATAGTATTGGAGGCCAAAGACCTAAGATTGGGAAGTCCTGTTGGTTCAGCTGCTGGCGGGGACCTTGTGGTGGGGGGCATCATGGTAGGAGTGTGTGTGCATGGGTGGAAGAAATCACTTGGTGAGACAGGAAGCTGATTGTGAGAACTCACTCCAGGAGAGCACATTCCCTTTGTTCTAAAGAGATGGTCTCCATGACACTGAGGAACTCCCACTGGCGCTCCCTCTTAAAGTTACCCCCCCCACCACACTGGGGTTCACATCTTTAATACACAAACCACTGAGGGATAAACCACACACAAGTCACAGCAGTGTTGAAGAGGGATGAAAAGACAGGGCAGATGGCTCATTGGGAAGAGGCTACAGTAGCTGGAGAGAGGTAGGGGTTGTGCAGTAGTTTTGTTATTCACCATTTCCTCCCTGGGCCTGCTGCTAGTTCCACGGAAAGCAGCGCTAAGGATGTATTAGAGTTAAGAAGAGTTAATAACCGTATTTAGATTAATAAGAGGATCAAAGGAGTGCTATTACAGCTGGAATTCCCAAACCAAAATTGCCACAGGGAGTGTAAGCTTTTGCTCATAATCACTGGAGTACTGACTATTCAGTTACTGGGCTGAGAGCAGGGCTGTGGTTGGGAGCAGACCGCACTGAAAGCTGTGTTCATTGTTGGATTTGGCCTTGTGCCTCTTGTGAGCTTCACCGTCACAGAGAAGAAGTCTGTGTTACGTATGTTTCATTTTACTGTACAGGTTGGAAATTTCATTCTGACTTTGGTACGTTTAACCTTGATCCTATTTGCTGTTCCCAATAAATAGGTTACTTAGAAATTGCTTCTCTGTCCTTTTAACTGGTGATAAGAATTACAATTAAATTACAATCTTTTTATCAGTGGCACTAGAACAGACATTTCTCAAAGACTGAGCATATTTCATTGACGACTCTGGAGCTGATTAATTGGGTTAGGACTTCAAGCAATCTGGTTTGCCTCTTTCCTTTTCCTTATATACATAAATTCTTCTCTGTATATTTTTAAGTAAAAATTTTTTTAGCTCTTATGCTATTTCATGCTATCAAAAGGTAACTGTTCATTACTTAAAAATCTCATTTCTAAAGGCATTTGAAGACACAGCATAGTGTGGGGAAGAAATGCAGCACAGAATACAAACTCATCTTTATTTTTGTGGGTTTTGTTTGTTTACAGTCTTTCTTGCCTTTCATTTTAATGGGTAGCTCTTTATTTCAGTGTCATTCACTTCTGAGACAAAGCATAAATTTTGGTGGGTGGAAAGAAGACGGATAAGAGACAAGGTAAAAATATGCTCTATTAAGAAAGAGAAAGGAGAAATCACCACAGATAGGAAGATGGCAAGGTAGAGTGAGGGATTGTATGGTAAACTGACAATTATCTTCTTTGACTAAACTTGATCCACACTCCTCGGGGCCCTCCTCTAGCCTGGGCCTCCATCTTAGCCTATAAAAATGGCAGATTCTTTTATTCTCACCTCCTCCATTTAAAAGACTGCAACAAAAACTAACTTAGTTTTTAACCATCTAAGGTAGTATCCCTAGGAGAACTAAGCTGCCCTTAACATGCCTGCTGAGAAAGCTCAAGGCTGTCAGAGAACTTACTGTTCTTTCCAGCTAGCACTTGATCATACAGTCCTTTTCGTAGACTACTCCTGTCTTAGAATACTTACTAAAAAGGGCTTGCAGTTAGGAATGCTTTCTCTGTCCCCCTGGGATGGAGATGTACCTCTTGAAACTCAACAGCGTCTTTCTCAAGGACCTGAAGGTCTTGCTATCATAAGGAAGGACAGGGCCTCTGTCTCCCAGTCTCTCTGTGAGGATGGAATCCAGCTAACAGAGGCAACTGGCCTGATCAGCATTTACCCTGAACAATCCTTTGCCATTTTCATTTCCCTAACTACTGACCCTTGTTCTCCTCTGCCTGATACCCTTTAAAATGCCAGTTACCTCAGTCAAATCAAGATTGAGTTTAGTTTGTGCTGGGTCTTCTCCCCTAGTACAATAGTATATTGCTGATTTGAATATGCCCTTACTAGTGTATGGCTTTGTGGACAGAACAAACCCTAAGGCACTTCCCTCAACTCAACCAATGAGTCACAGCCTTATATGATCCTTTCTCCTTGAGTGTGTAGAATCTGTTCCTGGCTTCCAACATCAAATATGACAACAGAATATGGTGGTGGTGATTGATTGTCACTCCATTTGATTAGGTTCCATTATATGAGAAGATGGGAGCTGAGAGAGAGAGAGAGAGAGAGGGAGAGAGAGAGAAGAGGCTGCTGAAGAAGCACATGAGAAGCACATGGCCATGTTGTGCGCTGTTCCATGGAGAGGCTCATGTGGCAGGATAGTGTGGATGGCTTCAAGGAGCTGAGGACAGCATCCAGCAACAGAGCAAGGAAGAAGCCAAGGAGCCAAGGAGCTGGTGCTATAGCTATAAAAGAATGAATTCTGCCAACAGCATGAATAAACTGGGAAATAGAGCTGGCCTGAGCTGACCTGTAGGTGAGAATATAGTTCAGACAACACCAGACTGCAGCTTTATGCAGTCCTGAGCAGAAGGCCCAGATAATTCAGGACTGGATACCTGATCATTGAAGCTGTGATTAAGAATGAACCTTGTGCTGCTGGGCGTGGTGATGCATACCCGTAATCCCAGACTCAGGAGGCTGAGGCAGGAGGATTGCCATGAGTTAGAGGCCAGCCTTGGCTGCAGAGTGAGTTCAAGGTTAGCCTAAACTGCATGGTGAAACTGTCTCAAAAAGACTAAAAAATACATCTTGTATTAAAATGATAAATTTGTTGTCATTTGTTGTACAGCAGTAGAAAACAAAATATATACTATATACATTTTTAAAAAAAATTTTAGTTTAAAAATAAAAGGAGGAAAACATTAACAGACAGACAACATTTTACAAAATAGCAAAAGAACTGTACAGACAATATGGAGTTACAAACAAAGTGGTAGGAAATTAACAATGCTTGTTGTATTACATATTGATATCTTCAAAGTGGTTTCTCATGAAAACAGATACAGACTTGCA